ATTCTCTCCTGGCTTCTCTTCTCCCCTCGCTTCCTTGGGACGTCTCCCTCCCCATCCCTTCTTCTTTCCACGTCTCCAACTCACCTCCACCCTCCTTTCCTCCCCTTCTTGGCCCCTGACTCCATTCTTCTACCTCTTGGTCCCCAATCCATCAGTTCCTCCTGCTTCCCCTCGCCCATCCCCACATAGGCCTCCAGCTCTCTGCCTGTCTTCCATCCCTCACCCCCTTCCCTTGCTATTGCTCTCAGTCTCTCTGTCTCCTTCTGTGTTGGTCTCCCCTTTGATTCTTTTCCTCCCTTTTCTCTTATTTAGTATCAGGCGTGGGTTTGCACTCAGACTGTGTAAGCCCTGTGCAACGGTGTGGTCAGAGTAGGCGAGGAGGTGGGAGGCGCAGTGGGGCTGGTGGTGCTCATTTGCTGCGTGACTGCCTCTCGTGGGGGGCTTGTCCTGAGGTTTACACGTGCCTCGTTTTTGACTCCTTATTTTCAGAGGGGTTTCAGGAATCCCGTGAGTTCAGCAGAAATGTAGTATAGACAGGGCCTCAGATGATCCCCCTGTGCCCAGGTCCTTTGGAAGGGGGTGGGGTCTCTGGGAATGATTTCCCAGTTTAACGAAATGGGGCAGGAAGGGAAGTAGAAAGCAAGGGGGTCTACATGAGCAATTCCAAAACAAGAAGGTTAGCACCGTAAACGCAGGGCTTTCTTCTTCATCCTGCAAGTATCCTCAGGTCAGACAGGGAAGTTTGAATCAAAAAGTGATACAATATCCATCTTATCCCTCAACAAGTACAATAGAATGCTTTGCCCATGGCAGGTGTCTGATAGATATAGGGTAAATGAATCCACCTAATACTGGAGTGCATCTTTGAAACTTTCCTCTAACTTCCCATGTATGTGCTGAGGATGGCACCTCATCCCATGTCCTCAGCCTTGTGTTTTTCAGGAAAAACACTGATGGAATAAATAGTGTTTATGTTTTTGGGTAACGATTTCACCTTCCTCTTGGGTCCTCATTGCTTTGCCTTTGGTCATTGGAAGAACTGCGTCTTCCAAGTGGCCATCCACATCACACAGGTGGCTGGGGCAGTTCTGGGAGAGAGTACAGAGTGTGAACTGCCCTGCTCAGTTAGAGGGGGGAAGGGAGGGAGAGGCGGAGGGACAGGTGGGTGGCTGGTGGTTTTCCCTGCCTGCAGCTGACCTGTGCCAAGTGGTCATTCTCATTAACAGTGAATTTCAATTTTTCTTTTAGTATAAGTGCAAGACCTTCTGGTCACAAGTCATACCTGTGCACTGTGGTTCATCCTGATTCTGGAAAGTGAACATTATCACACCTCTGGAGTTTCTCTTCTTGGTGCATCTCATTGTGAGCTCGCCAGGGGCTCCAGGAGTCTAAGACTCCTCTGGGCAGGGTGGGCTTGTCTGCTTTCCTTCAAAGCTCGTTTGTATTTTTATGTAGTGATGCCACATAGGGAAAATGGAAAATAGGAAAGAAGGGGAAATGGCTCAGAAGCTTGACAATCCAGGTAGAATCATAAATATACATTCAAGGAAATAAAATACTGAAAGTACAAGCAGTCCTTTATATCTTGGTTTTTTTTTTTCCACTGGCATTTCATGTCCCTCCTTGGAGCTCATGATTGGTGCAGTTACTTACACTTATGTTAAAGGAAGCTGGATGTAAATAATTTCATTTCTTAATAAATTAAATAACCCTATATTATCTGGCATAGATAAAATTGTTCCAGGATAAACCCCTGAAATACATACATTACATCTGGATGTGCTCATAAAGTAAAGAAACTTTGCCCCAGGGCTGTGGTTTGGCAAGTCTTTGTTGGGCATGGTAAGGGAGGGGTAAGGCATTCTTTAATTTGGGTGGGCAAGAGTGTCTTGAAATCCCCACTAAGGCCTCCTGTTTGGTGGACTGCTGCTGTGCACTTGTAAAGCCCTGCTTGAGATTCATAAGGAGAACGCTGGAGTTTTCAAAGGCTTAGCACAACAATGGCTGTTGACCATGAATGTTCTCTCTGGATCTCCTTACTTCTAATGCCTTTCTTTGCCTTCTTATCTTGTAAATACGATGAGGCTGATGCTCTAAATAAAAGAAGCCTGTATGAGTGTGTTCAAGTCTAAAATATAACTATTTGTAATTGGTGTGATTAGTGTAATTCTTTATTGTATGGAAGTTTTGTGAAATTTCTTACGAGGAAACTTTAATGCCCCATTTTTCCTTTGTGCTAATATCTTTATTCAGAAAGATTCTACATTTTAATAGATTTCTCTAGAAATTGACTTTGTGATGTATGTACATTCTGTGAAAGATATTAACTTCGAGTTAATTTAAAGTTCCTGGCAATGCAAAAATAAGTAAGTGTATAAATAAACCAAAACTCCACAGGATCCCTAATGTTTCACAGTCTGTTATCTTTCATTGCTTAGAAAAAGAGCTATTTCGAATCTACCACTGTTCCCTACA